GGAGGCCGTCACCCTAGTTACCCTCATCATCGGCGCGAACGCGGAGCCCGCGGCGAGGGCAAGGGCCCGCGTGAAGGCGTGGATCAAGAATGCCCAGGAGATGCGCCAGCGAGGCAAAGTGGACGAGATCGAGAGCAAGTTGCGCACGATCAGCTGCGCCGCCCTGGCTGGCATTATCGAGGGGCGCGACTTGCGGGGCAATAGTGTGGGTGCAAGGAACAAGAAGGATTTAGACGCAATGAAAGAGTAGATCAAGGACATGCCCACGAAGATGGCGGCCGAGACCTTCGCGCCAGTGAAGGTACAGGCCGCGTTCATGGAGGCGGAGGCGAGGATCGCCATCGTCAAACACGACAAGCTGCAACCGTTGTACGCCTGCTTGGAGCAGCTCGGAGCTGTCATCAAGAACGGAGTGGCCCCCATGTCCCACCTCGAAAGGATCCTCAACACTTGCCTGGGCGACGGGTACTCGTGGGGGAAGGCGGCGTGGTGGGCCGCGAGGAGTCTGGTGTGAATGGCGGTGATCGTCGCGTGGGTGACGGCTACCGTCGAGAGGGAGAGGCACCAGTGCATCGCGGGCGCGGACAGCACGAATATGCTGGAAAGAGTGAGGCGGGACCGCGGCCGCTGCCGCGCCTTGCCGTGCCGAGCCCGTGTGGTTCCCAGGCGAACCTACCACCTCCTCCCTGCGAGCCCCCCCCTCCTCCGCACCCGCCGGACAGCCGACGAGCCCGTCCCACCCCCACTCCCAGGGAAATCCAAGGGCATGTTCGGAATCTTGGGTGGGGGGACGCGCTCAGTAATTCAATTGCCAACTTCGTGAGCTCGGTGCGTGTCGCCCGCCCCAGACGAGGTCCAGGGTGCAGACGTAGGGGCCCGACCCTCCTGCTGCTGCCTGCGTGCCGTGCTCGCCGCTTGTCCCCTCCCCCCCCGCGCTCCTCGCTGGCTCCTCGCTGTGCGTGCTGCTGTGCGGTCGTGGGGCTCGCTGGCTCTCTCCTCTTCCCCCTCTGCCTGCGGGGGGTCGTGGTCGGTTGGTTGGGGTTTCGAAACCCAAGGAACCACTTGGGTGGGCTGGAGGCCCAAAATCTCGGCTATAGGCCGTTCCTAGGGTGATTTCTGTTCTGCGTCGAACGTCGAAGACTCGCCCCAGAGGTGTTCGTAGTAGTAGTAGTAGTAGTAGTAGTAGTAGTAGTAGTAGTAGTAGTAGTAGTAGGAGTGGCAGTGGTAGTGGTAGTGGTAATGGTAGTGTTAGTAGTAGTAGTAGTAGTAGTAGTAGTAGTAGTAGTAGTAGTAGTAGTAGTAGTAGGCGTAGTAGTAGTAGTAGTAGTAGTAGTAGTAGTAGTAGTAGTAGTAGTAGTAGTAGTAGTAGTAGTAGTAGTAGTAGTAGTAGTAGTAGTAGTAGTAGTAGTAGTAGTAGTAGTAGTAGTAGTAGTAGTAGTAGTAGTGGTAGTAGTAGTAGTAGTAGTAGTAGTAGTAATAGTAGTAGTAATAGTAATAGTAGTAGTAATAGTAATAGTAGTCGTAGTAGTAGTAGTAGTAGTAGTAGTAGTAGTAGTAGCTGTTGTTCTCCTCCTCCTCCCCTTTCGCTGGAGTGGCCTCTGCTGGAGGGTTCTCCCAGCATGGGCCAGCGCGCTTGGATTTAGCCCACCCGCGGCCCCATAAAGAGCCGCGCGCCAAGGAGGTTCCCCTCGCCTGCGGGTCGCTCTTGCGCGCAGTCGGCTCGTCGTCCTCCTCATCCTCCTCCTCCTCCCCCCCCTCCTCCTCCTCCTCCTCCTTCTCGGTCCGCTCTCGTGTTAGATGCTCGTTTTGGGGACCTTTCCGGGGCCCACCAAACGGATCCTTTCGCCTCTAGTTCGACCCCGGCTCGACGCAAGTTCAACTCAGGTTCGCCTCGAATCCGACTGATGCTCAGGTTCGACTCAAGGTCGGCTCAAATTGTCCGACGTTCGACGCAGCTTTGACGCACGAGTGGAGCGAGTGTCTCCAGGAAGGTCCCCAGAATGAGCATCCAGCTCGCGGGAGAGCAGCACATCCCTATCAGCGGACTCGCGAGCTGGGCCCCTGGGCCGCGACCCCGCGGATAATTGGCGTTCTGTTCGCGGATGTTCTGCGCGGCACGTAGCCGTGTGACCGTGTGACCGTGTGACCGCACGTGGCCGTGTGACCGCGAGGGCGCGAATGCGGATATGTTCGCCGCTCGTAACCTTCTCCGAGTCTTCCCCGTCCCCCACGGCTACGATTCCGAGGAGGAGGAGGAGGAGGAGAAGGAGGAGGAGGAGGAGGAGGAAGAGGCCTGCTGAAGGAGTCTTTATTCCGGTTGCCTGGGCAAGGATATGTGAACCAGGCCTGTTTTGCTAAGGACTCCTTGCTCAGAACTCTTTACAAAAGGATTCCGTATGAAGGATTGTTCGTTCTGGATTATGTAGGATGTAGTCTTTATATTGCGGTTTCGTTAGCAAAGGCCCTCCAAGAAGGATCCCTCAGTAAGGGATCTTTTTCAGGATGTTAAACAATGGTTCCTCATCAAGGATCCCTTTTCTAACGATTCCTCATTCAAGAGGCATGCGCCATTCCGCCGACCACCAGAGGCATCACGGAGTCCACGGGTGAGCCCTTTTGATGGCCTCTTTGGGGCCTGTTGGGGGGCCGCCTCGGGCCTTCTGGAACGCCTGCTGGCGGTCTCTCGGGGACCTCTTTGGGCGGAGGGCTCGACGTGTCAGTTCGAGTTTTCTCCTCTCGGGCCCCGCTTGGGGCCCTGTTAGGGGCCCTCCTGGGTCATCTTGGGCGACTCTTGGGCCGTCTCAGGGCCCTTTTGGACCGTCTTGGGGCCCTCTTGGGGGCATCCTCGGCCGTCTTGGAGCGATCTTGGGGGCCTCTTGAGGAGTCTTGGACGCTGTTGAGACCGCAGGGGCGAACACGCCAAACGGTTTTTCCGTTTTCCCGAGGGATTGGGGCGATTGTTTCTGCCTCTTGGGGCCTTCTTGGGGGTTCTCTTGGAGCCTTCTTGGGGCGTCTTGGAGGCCACTTGGGGCCGTCTTGATGCCGTGTTGGTTGTTTTTGGAGCTCTCCTCGGCGTGTTTGGAGACCAGCTCGGGTCAGCTGAGAGTCCACGAAGTGTACAAATTGTTCATATCTGAGTATTCGAAAGTTCTTGGATTTTTTTGGGGGCCAAGATCCTTTCATTTCTAATGGTTTTATCCTGGGCCTCTTCCTGGCCACTAGGGGGCCAGGAGCAATTAGAAACGAGCACACTTAGAAATGAGCACGGTTAGAAATGACCGACGTGTAGATTCAAGAGGCTTGCGCCGTTCCGCCGACCTCATGAGGCGAAATGGACTTCACGTGAGAGCCCTTTTGGTAGCCTCTGCTGGGCCTTTCGGGGACCGCTTGAGGGGCCATTTTGGAGAGCCTGCCGGCGGTCCTGGGGGCCTTTTGGGCGGAGGGCTCGACATTTCAGTTGGAGTTGCTCCTCTCGGGTCCCTCTTGGGGCCCTGTTGGGGCCCTCCGGGGCCATCTTGGGCAACTCTTGGGCCTTCTTGGGGCCCTCTTGGGCTGTCCTGGGGCCCTCTTGGGGGGCATCCTCGGTCGTCTTGGAGCGATCTTGGGGGCCTCTTGAGGAGTCGTGGACGCTGCTGAGACCGAAGGGGCGAACATGCTAAGCAAGTGTGTTTTCCCACGGGATTGGGGCGATCGTTCTGCCTCTTGAGGCTTCTTGGGGGTCCTCTTGGAGCCTTCTTGCGGCGTTTTGGAGGCCACTCGGGCAGTCTTGAGGCCATCTTTTCGTAGTTTTTGTTGAGGCGTCTCTGTTTTCGCGGAAGAAACTCTTGCGGCGTCGTTGAGGCTACCTTGGGCAGTCTCGAGGCCATTTTTCGGGTGTTTTTTGGAGCTCTCCTCGGCATGTTGGGGAGCCCCGCTTGAGCTAGCTGGGAGCCCACGGAGCGTGTATTCTTGGAGGCCCGGGAGGCCCCGCGCGAAGTGCAGACGTGGAGGCTTTGTAGGCCTCGGGGGTGCGCTTGGGAGCCCGGACCCCCCCCCTCCCTCCCTTGAGCGCGGTCTTGGGCCCTCCCTGGAGGAGGAGGAGGAGGAGGAGGAGGAGGAGGAGGAGGAGGAGGAGGAGGCGGAGGAGGAGGAGGAGGAGGACATGTCTCACACGCCTCTTCACCCCTGGCAAGCGGGGGTCGGCGGACAGGATTCCTCAGCAAGGTTTCTTTTCTGTTGCTGTTTGTGCTGTTTTTTCTTTCTCTCAGGACGCTTTGATTCTGGAGTGTTCTATACGCGGATCCCTGTTGGTAAGGTTTCTTGAGACATGATCCTTTCGCGAGGATGTTCCACTAAGTGTTCCTGAGTGAGGAGTTGGTCTCAATGACTATTAATAGCGTAGTTCTTCACTAAGAATTTCTTACGACGGGTTCTTAAGGTCCCCTTTTCCAGGGCTTATTCTGAAGGATCCCTTGCGAGGAATGTTTACCAAGGATTACGTACTAAGGGCTGCTGGCTAACGATTATTGATGAAGGGTTTTTAGTACGTATTCTCCAATTAGCGTTCCTCAAGACGTAGTTCTTAATCCATACTCGTCATTAGCGGTTCTTTGAGCAGCACTCCTTACTGGGGATTCTTCAGAAACGGCCCTTTTACGGAGGATTATTTTGTATGCATGTGTTGTATGGATTTCTCTTAAATGTCCCCTTAATGAGCTTTCATGAAGCATTCTTTAGGCATTGTTCTCCAAGGACTCTTCAACAAGGAGTCTTTACTAAGGGCTTCTTCAGTAAGGACTACTTGCTAGCGATCGCTGGGTCAAGGACTCGGCACGGCGGCGGCGGCGGCGGCGGCAGCGGCGGCAGCGGCGACGGCTGCCACGACCGCGGCGACGACGGCGGCGGCGACGGTGACGACGACGGGCGCGGTGGCGCCCGCGGCGGCGACGACCGCGGCCTCGTTGGCGGCGACGACGCCGCGGCGGGGCGGCGACGAGCGTGGCGGCGACGTCTGCGGCGAGGGCTGCGGCGACCCGGCCCGCCGCCTCAGGTCGACCCCGGCGCCGTGGCTTCCGAGCTGATGCGGGGCGCGGCCGACGCGTCGAGGCGGCTGGGCGGGCCGGGCGCGGCAGGCCCGAGGACCGCTGCCCGCCCGGCTGCCGCGTCCTCTCCCCGCGCCCCACGTCCCTCCTCGTGTGCTCCCCGCTCTCCCTCCTCTTCTTGTTCTTCCTCCTCCTCCTCCTCCTCCTCCTCCTCGTCCTCCTCCTCCTCCTACTCCCCCCTCCTCCTCCTCCTCCTCCTCCTCCTCCTCCTCCTCCTCCTCCTCCGCCCCCCTCCTCCTCCTCCTCCTCCTCCTCCTCCTCCTCCTCCTCCTCCTCCTCCTCCTTCCCCTCTTCAACCTCTCTCCCTGGGCCACGCTCCACCTCCTCCCTGCCTCCCTCCCCATCTCCCTCCCGCCCTCCCTGGGGGCGGCGGTGATGCCCATGGCAAACCCACGAGTGGAATCCCATCGGCTTCCAGACCCTGGGCTCCTGATACAAGGATTCCCTACCCAATGCCCTCACCGTATGTTCGTCGCTCGTGGCCCTCTCTGTTTCCTGCGGGGGGGTGCTGCCCTTTAGGAAGCACGCCGCCGAGCTGCTGCGCCACGGGTACGCCGACCTGCGCTCTTACGGCCCGCGCCTCTGCTGGCGGCCTCCCCCCTCTTGAACGGGCGCCTCGCCGACAGGAGGACGATAAAGAGGAGGAGGAGGAGGAGGAGGAGGAGGAGGAGGAGGAGGAGGAGGCGGAGGAGGAGGAGGAGGAGGAGGAGGAGGAGGAGGAGGAGGAGGAGGAGGAGGAGAAGGAGTCCTCCTCCTCCGCCTCCTCTTCCCCTTGATCGGCTTCTTTTCTTCTTCTTGAGTCCCTTTGTGACCAGTTCTGGGGCCCAGGGAGCGGCCTCTATAGATGCAGGACAGAATCTGCCCCAAAAACCGGCCGCCGCGAGTTTTTTTGCGACGCCTGGGATCTGAGGGCTTCGCCCGACCCGACACAGGATCAGGGACAATGATCGGGGGGGGGATGCAGGTCGGGGGCGGCAGCGAAAAAGCAGGACGGAGGATTTCGCCGTTGTCGGCCTCTGGGGGCCCTCGCTGGGCCCTGGGACCGTCGAAGGGCACTGTTTTTTTGGTCCCCTGCCGATAACGGGCGTAGCCAGGGGGGGAGGAGGGGGGAGAGGGCTGGGCACGTCACGATTCGCCCCCGCGCCGCTTGGGGAGTGCCTGAGAGTGGCTAGCTTCCAGACGGCGCCGGCGCGAATGTGACGTGTCCATACGGGACGCGAAAACGACCACAGCCACTGCTTTTCTTTTGTTGCCGCCTTCCAGCCAGCAGAAACAAAGCAGTGGTTGTGGTCATTTTCGTTAAGCCTGCCACCGGGGAAATGACCACAACCACTGCTTTTTTTTCGGCTAGCTGGAAGGCGGCGCAAACAAGAAGCAGTGGCTGTGGTAATTTTCCCGTCCCGCAGACCAGTGGGGCGGGAGGGGAGGGTCAGGGGCCGAGTCATGGACGCTGCTGGGGAGAAACGAAGATGAGCTCAGGAGGGGGCGCACCCCCTGACGTGAGGGTTTCGGTCGTCGACGTGTACGCGGGCGCTGTGCAGGTTCGAGCTTTTCTCGCCTCGGGACGCTGAGCTGCTTTCCAGCAGCTGAGATGCGCCGCCAGCCGATTTGTGTCACGAGAGCTACCTCGTGTCGTGAACAAAGTAGATTGTTTTTTTGCTTAATTTTCCGCTTTGGGGGGCCCTTGCCGGGCCCTGGGGCCGTCAACAAGCAGCTCGCGAGGGAAAAAAAGTCAGCCCCAGGGAAGGGGTTGATAACTCTGGGGCTCCATTTTGGGAGCAAAATCACGCCGTCGAGGGTCTGGGGAGAACTGTTTGAGAATCCTCAATCGGGCCAAATTCTTGGGACTTCAGCGTCACGACTCAATGTGACTGTTGCGTCCTGACAATCGTCTGTAATTGCGCCAGCCATAATTCATGCGATTTTAGCGTCGTAAAGTGTCGTTAATGTTGCGTCCTGACGATCCCAACCCGTTACCGGACACCATTCCAAGGACTTCAACTCCGCGAATCAACGTGGCTGTTGCGTCCTGACAATCCTAAACCTTGCCAGAAACTAATTCCTGGGATTTTGGCCATGCGAATCCTTGAAGCTGGTGCACACCTTCCAAACGGATGTTCGCAGCGCTTCAGCGAGAGCCACATTTTGAAGAAGAGCCGCCTTTCATCCTTGAGGCTGATGTAGAACTGTCAAGACGGATGTGCGCGGCGCCCAGGCTAGATCAGCATTTTGACAACGACCCGCTTTCCATCTTTGAAACTGCTGCAAACCTTTAAGACGAGTTTGCGCGGCGCTAAGGCGAGAGCCACATGTTGGAAAAGAGCCGCCCTCAATCTTTAAACTGTTGTGCATTAAGCTGTTGTACTCGTTTACGACGGAGGTGCACGGCGCTGAGGCGAGAGCCACATTATTCAAAACAGCCGTCCTCCATCCATATAGCTCCAAATTTCAAGCTTCAGGAACACGATGTCGAAACGCACGGCCCGCCTTACCGACACGTCTGGGGGTGCGACAGGGATGAGTTATTGATACAGGACAGAGATGGAGGAAGAGGAGGACGATGATGATGACGACGATGATGATGATGATGATGATGATGATGATGATGATGGTGATGATGATGATGATGATGATGATGATGATGATGACGATGATGATGATGACGATGATGATGATGAGGAGGAGGAGGAGGAAGAGGAGGAGGAGGAGGAGGAGGAGGGGGTCATGATGATGCAGTGAATGGAAAGAGCGCGCCCGCAGCGCCGGGCAGAGGGAAAGGGGGGCCCCAGCTTCAAGCTACCCCCCCCTCCCTTCCAAAAGGGGGGGGAAATTTCCGAAGCTACCCCCCCCCGTCCCTTGTGTAAGGGTTTCTAAGTTAGGGGGGCCCTGGCTAAAGGCGGGGGGGCTTCGAAGCTATCCCCCCCCTTCCCTCCCTGATCTGGAGCAGAAGGTGAGCCCGGGCTTCCCTTTCAAAGGGGGAGGCTTCGGAAGCTACCCCCCCACCTCCTTCCTTTCTTGGTCAGGGCACAGGGGGGGGCGGCTTCAAGCTACCCCCCTCCACCCTCCTTTGCAAAGGGGGGGCTTCCGAAGCTACCCCCTCCCTTCTGGGTTTATGGCAGAATGGCAGAATCCTTGCAGACAGGTGCGCACCGCAGCGCTAGAGAACGCATGGGAGAATAACGTCGACCCCTGCTTTGTTTTCTTGTTTTCTTGTTTTCTCGGCGTCTGGTTCGTAGTCTCGTTTTCTCGGGCCCAGATTCCTTTTATCGTTTTCTCGTTTTCTCGGGCCCTGGTTCGTTTTCTCGTTTTCTCGTGTTTTCGGCCCCCTGTGTCGTGGTCTCGTTTTCTCGGACGCTGGTTTGTTTTCTCGTTTTCTCGGCCCCTGGGTGGTGGTCTCGTTTTCTCGGGTCCTGGTTAGTCTTCTCGTTTTCTCGTTTTCTCGGCCCCTGGGTCGTGGTTTTGTTTTCTCGGACGCTGGTTAGTATTCTCGTTTTCTCTTTGTCTCGGCCCCCGGGTGGTGGTCTCGTTTTCTCTGACCCTGATTCGTTTTCTCGTTTCTTTGCTTTCTCGGCTCCTGGGTCGTGGTCTCGTTTTCTCGCACCAATCGTTTTCTGGTGACTTCGGCCCTTGGGTCGTGGTTTCGTCGGACCTGGTTCGTTTTCTCGTTTTCTCGTTTTCTCAGCCCCTGGGTCGTGGGTCGCTTTCGCGTTTTCTAGTTTTCTGGGCCCCTGGGTCATGGTCTCGTTTTCTCGGGGCCTTGTTCGTTTTCTCGTTTTCTGTTTCTCGGCCCCTGGTTCTTGGTTTTGTTTTCTCGGACCCTGGTAAGTTTTTTCGTTTTCTTGTTTTCTCGGCCCCTTGGTGTTGGTCCAGTTTTCTCGGGCTCTGGTTTCCTTTATCGTTTTCTCGTTTTCTCGGCCCCTGGGTCGTGGCCGTGTTTTCTCGGACCCTGGTTCGTTTTCGCGTTTTCTGTGCCCTTGGGTTGTGGTCTTGTTTGCTCGGACTTTGGTAAGTTTTCGCGTTTTCTCGTGTTCTCGGCCCCTGGTTCGTGGTCTCGTTTTCTCGGACCCTGGTTCGCTTTCTTGTTTTCTCGGCCCCTGGATCGTGGTCCCATTTTCTCTGACCCTGGTTCGGTTTCTCGTGTTCTCCCTTTTCTCGGCCCCTGGCTGGTTGTTTTGTTTTCTCGAGCCTTGGATCGTTTTCTCGTTTTCTCGTTTTCTCGGCCCCTGGGTCGTGGTCTCGGTTTCTCGGGCCCCTGTTCGTTTTCTCGTTTTCTCGTTTTCTCGGCCTCTGGGTGTTTGTGTCGTTTTCTCGGGCGCTGGTTCGTTTTCTCGTTTTCTCGTTTTCTCGGCCCCTGGGTCGTGGTCTCGTTTTCTCAGACTCTGGTTCGTTTTCTTGTTTTCTTCGTTTTCTCGGCCCCGTGGTCGTGGTACAATTTTCTGGGACTCTGGTTGGATTTCTCGTTTTCGCGTTTTCTCTGCCCCTTGGTCGTGGTCTCGTTTTCCCGGGCCCCGTTTCGTTTCTTCGTTTTCTCGTTTTCTCGGGCCCTGGTTCGTTTTCTCGTTTTCTCTGGCCCAGGTACGTTTTCTCGTTTCTTGTTTTCTCGGCCCCTGGGTCGTGGTTTGGCCTTCTCCGACCATGGTTCGTTTTCTCGTTTTCTCGTTTTCTCTGCCGCTGTGTCGTGGTCTTTGTTTTCTCTGACCCTGGTTCGTTTTCTCGTTTTCTCGTTTTCTCTGCCCCTGGGTCGTGGTTTTGTTTTCTCTTACCCTGGTTCGTTTTCTCGGGCCCTGGTTCGTTGTCTTGTTTTCTCGTTTTCTCGGCCCCTGGGTCGTGGTCTCGTTTTCTCGGACGCTGGTTTGTTTTCTCGTTTTCTCCTTTTCTCGGCCCCGGGGTCGTAGTCTCGTTTTCTCGGACCCTGGTTCGTTTTCTCGTTTTCTCGGCCCCTGGGTCGATATTTCGTTTTCTCGGGCCGATCTTTGCGTTTTCTCGGCCCCTGGGTCGTGGTCTCGTTTGCTCGGGCCCTGGTCCGTTTTCTCGTTTTCTCGTTTCTCTGACCCTGGGTCGTAGTCTCGTTTTCTCGGGCCCTGTTTCGGTTTCTCGTTTTCTCGTTTTCTCGGCTTCTGGGTTTTTGTATCGTTTTCTCGGGCCCTGGTTCGTTTTCTCGTTTTCTCGTTTTCTCGGCCTTTGGGTCGTGTTCTCGCTTTCTCGGGCCATGGTTCGTTTTCTCGCTGTCTCCTTTTCTCGGCACCTGGGTCGTGGTTTCGTTTTCTAGGATTTTCTCGTTGCCTCGTTTTCTCGGCCCCTGGGTCGTGGTTTCGTTTTCTCGGGCACTGGTTTGTTTTCTCGTTGTCTCGTTTTGTCGGCTCCTGGTTCGTTTTCTCGTTTTCTCGGACCCTGGTTCGTTTTCTCGTTTTCTCGGCCCCTGGGTCGTGGTCTCGGTTTCTCGGGCCCTGGGTCGTTTTTTCGGACCCTGGTTCGTTTTTTCTTTTTCTTGTTTTCTCGTTTTCTCGGCCCTTGAGCCGTGGTCTCGTTTTCTCGGACGCTGGTTTGTTTTCTCGTTTTCTCAGCCCCTGGG